ATGAATGCTAATAAGGAAAATTCCAGAGACTGCCATAAATGGGACCTAACTTTCTATTGGGAGTGGGGTGGGCGAGGTCAGAGAAGCTCCTTGAGAAAACACATTTAATCTGACATCTGATGGATGAGTAATAGTCACTATATTAAAAGCCAAATAAACAACTTTATGTACCCAATAAAGACATTTTAGACTTTCACAAAGCTCAAGACCAACTAATTCACCCACATCTTTAGGGAATGTTGGATGGTTTATTTTGCCCCTTACAGCAGCATACTTTGAAAGCCAAAAACTGGCCAATTACTCCTGACATCTACTCTTTAGCCTTCCTGAGATAATTCGAAGTGAAACTGGAGATTTCTGGACAAATAATCAAATCTCTATTCTTTATGTGCAAAAACACAGTTAAGGTCAGGGTAAAATTACTAATGTTTGGAGACCAAGGATTTGAGGACATGTATATTTGAGAAGCCCCCACAGATACTGGAGTATAAAAAAAATCAATGAAAAGGCCATTCACTCAGGAGAAACAATCTGATGGCCTCTTCAGATTTCCATGGAGCAGTGAGTAGAAGAACTAATAGAAAAACTACATCCACATGTACCTAATGAAGGCTATCCACCCAGAGGATGCAGCAGTTAGCACCTTTCAAGAGGACAGTTTGGCAGAATGGATCAAAAGCCTTAAAAAAGGTTTACATGTAACCATTCCACCTTTAGGAATTTTTCTTCAGGAGAAGAATAGGCAAAAGTACAGGAAGGTTAGCTGCTACCATCTAATTTAATGGAGAGCTACCAACAACACATATTCAAATAGAAACCTTCAACTTAGGATTGTTCAATGGTGGTACTCTTGGTATTTGGGAGGAGTCAGTTCTCCTTTTGTGCAGGATCGTCTAGTACTTTTCAGGATGTTTAGCATCCCAAGCTCCCACGAATTAAAATCCAGGAGAGCAGGGATCTTGTGGAGTCCCCCAGCCATTATGACAATAACTACCTCCTACCAAACATACATTTCAAAATGCCCCCTAGTGGTGGGTGGTCCACTGGAGCTTAGAAACTACCAATGGAGAACTATATATCTACCTATTCCAAAGGATAACACCTATTCAGAAGTATAATCTGGATTTGAATATATTTACAGAAAAAATATCTTCAAAATACGTGAAGTGGGAAAGAAAGCCACAACAATTAGGTAGCGTCATCACATTTTTGTCCAAAATGAAACAGAAATGTATTCCTATATAGATACTTGTTATACATATGCAAAAAGATTGAAAAACAATTTCCTTTGGTTGGTAGAACTCGAGTGCTTTTTATCTGCTTTCTTAGATTTCTCATATTTCTTTTTTTTTTTTTTTCCAATAATAAAGTCTTCCCTTTAAAAAGGAAAAAGCAACTTCTGTTCCGGAGAACAAAAGGTGACCCGCCCACTGCCTATTCCTCATGGCGCTCCAACTCTTGTTTTGACTTAGTGAGAACAGCAGGATCTGCCTCAGAAGCACAGGTCTCTGCACAGTCAACATGGGATCACCACTTTTTCACTCTGCCGAATATCTGACCACCTTACAAGGCAACAGATATTATACTGGAGCTAGAACATAGTAGATGTTCAAAAAATGTTTGTTGAAATGAGCCATTCTTTATATCAACTGGGCCAGAATTTTGCTGACAGATACTCCAGGTTTTAACATCACTTTCACGCAGTAGTACTCAACCCATCCTCCAGAGATACTGGGCAATGTCTGGAGACATGCTTGGTTACCTCAATGTTGGGAGAGGTGTGGTGTGTACTACTGGCATCTAGTGGGTAGAGGCCAGGGATGCTGCTAATCATCCTGCAATTCAAAGGACGCCTCAATAGCAACAACTTGTCCAGCCCCCAATTTCAAGAGGACTGAGCTTGAGAAACCCTGCTCACCATTTGCCTTTCTTAGAGCTCATTAAGTATTTTCTGAATCCTTCCTGAAGTGTTATGTACTGTAAATTTATAATCATGGTATCTCTGAGATAGAGCACATACTATTAATTGTTTGAGTTTGAAGAAACACAGTGCACATACTATTAATTGTTTGAGAAATTGGAGCCTTATGGATGACTTCAGATGATCAATCAGGGCAGACTCCAGTTCTCTGTTCTGGCTCTCTGGATGGCATTAAACACCTTATTGGGAGTAAGCAAAGGCCAAGGATCTGGGCAAACTCTCTGATTACTTCTCAGGCTAGCCTTTAAAAATCATAGTTAAATGCCTGTCCTCTCTGGCATCATCTGTTATATCTATCATTTTCCATTCTATTTTAAGAAAGTTAGGTTTTGCAGCTGGCAATTAAATGCCAATATTTAAGAACACCTCCCCAAAAGGGAGGTGACTTTCGATGGCATTATATTTAATTGGAAGGTATTTCTCATAAGAAACAAGAATAATAAAGAGTGTCACCTGAAGGTATATTAACCAACTCCACAATCATGGAGTGAAATGAAAGGTTTCTAACAAAAATAAAAGCACATTACTCTCAACTCTAACTAGTCTTTAGTATTTTGCCTCCAGCACAAAACATTTTAATGTTCACTGTAATTTCTCTTGATAGAAAAATGGTTTTTCCCAAACCAGAGACAACTAACATGATATTAAACACCAGAATTTTTATTAGCGAAAGGCATTTAGGCCTCAAATTTTTCTAATCTTAAAATATACTGAATAGATCTTTAAAAATCTTTAAACCTATAAACAGTTTTGTTAGTAATAAACTTCAAAAGATCTTACAATTTAAAATTTTGAAGCCCATTTCTTTCATGCAACATGATCCCTTCAAACATCTTTAATATATACTCATATTTTATTAGGCAAATATAGAGCCCTTCAAATAGCTTGAAGAGAGACTCTCTCTGAAGAACAACTTCCCTTTTGAATCATCTGTGTCATATAGGTTTGAGTAACTGTAGGGAACAGAGAAAACCATCCAAAGAACAATAGAATTATAAGACATAGGAATATCCTTTCATCTGACATAATTCAAACCACTTGTTTAATAGCATTAATCATTTTCTTTCAAAACAAATCAAAGAACATTGTTTTATACTTCCCAAAGACGTTCATTTCAGATGAGTCAAGTGGCCTCCAAAAATATCAGAAGCACTCACTTTTTGAACTGGTAAATTTAACCAAGACCTAGCTCTTGCAATTGTCTGTTCTCTTGGGTCAATAGAAAACTTTCTCTGAATCTGAACATCACAGAATGATGTTTAGTCATCTTAGAGAAGAATCTACTTAAGCAGGGAACTTAAAACAGCTTAACTTTGGAATTTCGAGGCTCAATTTAGCAGGAAGTACTATGAACAAAACAAAGATGGGTCTCTTAGAAGCTGCTGGAAATGAGGTTAGCAAGAAAATGAAACAAGCTTACAGATGTATGTAGGTGTGAAAACTTACTGCTCTAGTCCTGGGGGTAGAATGGTGACGTCAAACAAAAATATTCAGTCATCTACCACCTCATTTGAGTTTCTAGACAAATTCAGCCAAATTAAACTACTCTCGTTATTTAATACAATCTTTACTGAAACAGAACAAAAAGTAAACATATAACCACACCCAAAAAACTGAGAGAAAAAGCTTTTATTTCTTCCTGCTAATATCGCAACACAGAACTCCCTTGAATTCTCATGAAGATTATTTCCTGTGAATGTTTCTATTCCAAGATATTTTGTGATCTCTATTCTAATGGTAAGAATTAGAATAGAGATCACAAAACCGAAGTATCCGTAGCATTTAGAAAGGTAACACAAAGGGACAAAGTGGACTTAATGAAGACTAGGGTGACTTGGAGAGATCAAGCTCTGTCAAGGAAGAATGACCAGCACTCAAGCCAATGGCCAGAAAACCAATCATAGCAGAAATGAGATTCCACAGTCTCAAATTTTCCAGATACAAATATGAACTTTTCAATAGAAATTCCTAACTTTTAAATATTAGCAACCGATTCAAAATTTTAAACAATACTTTACTGGCTAAACAAATCCTGCCTATGTGCTTGATTTTATCAGTCAATTTGTAACCTCAATATTGGAAGGAAAAAAAAAGAAATGGCTAATCAAAGATGTTATCAGGGTCCCACTCTTAAGTTGTTGGTGAATTCTTAGGCCTTTCTTAACCATAAAGAATTTTTTCTAAAAGAATGATCACATTTAAAGTTATTACCTTAAAATTTTAGCGTTTTTTACATTTCAAAACACTACGTTAGACATAAAGTTTCTCCAGAGCAAGAAACTTTTCATGTCAGAGGAAGGAAATAGTGGTTGAACACTTTAGATTCTGATAAAACTGTCTCTCAAAGAAGCACAGAGAAGATCATGAAAATATCCAGTCTACAGAAGGGGCTTCTAAACCAACACTGAGCTTGGCAGAAAAGAAAATTCCAAGTACCAAGAAATGCAAAGCAGAAGCTGTATATCACTGAAAAAACAAAATGCAGTGAAACAGAGAGAAACCAAGTTCATCTCATCGAGCAAATAATATTTACAGTCTGTGGGTAGTGTCAAAATATTTCAGGAAATGCCAATGTCTTTCTTTGTAAAGCAAGGCCAAATGTAATAAACACAGCATATATCACTGGAAAGAATAAGGCGAATCCATATTTCCTCACTCTCCTTTACAAAGGATCTTAACGTTAAGATTCATGGCCAATGTAGAACTTCCCTTCCCTCTCCAAAACCGAAGTTTCGCCATCTAATGTTTCAGAGCCAACATACCTATGAAGTTTCTAGAAAATCTTCTGTTAAAAGTTAATAATTGTGATTCAGAATGAACTAGTAATGGCCCACAGAAGGCTCAGTTTTATTTCTCTTCCTCATTTCCTCCTGAGGCTCTGGACATCTTCAACCCATGGAGCCCCAACCTCTTTTCTGAATCAGTCAGGTCAATTCTTCCTTCCGCACCGGAATGAGGAAAGACGGGCAACATAAACACAAAAGCCAAACCACAACCACCCTCACGTCAAGAATGGTACCTGTTCAGGCTTCAGCCCGGGCGGGACCCAGGCGTACTCCTCCAAGGCACAGCCTGAGTCGTCATCTGAGGTCGAGTTCCTCTGGAAGTCAAACATGAGTTTGCTGACGGTCTTCTCCATCTCCAGGGGCATCACCGTCACCATGTGCTCCTCCTGAGGGCACTTGCAGTGCAGACAGATCTTCCTGCAAGCAGCAAAGGTGGTAGGTGAGAAGGAAGGCAAAAGATACCATTTTTTCAATTGGCCTGCCAGCCCCCAGCCCTTGGATTCCAAAGCATAAACACATTCCTTGGCAACTGCCTTTTGGCAAAAGCATCTAAAGGAGCGTACCACAGCACGCCTGTCTTTGTAGAAGATGCCACACGATCAGGCACCACCAGGTAAGCATGCTAAGGAAGTTTACACATGGATCCCCACCTTTTCCTTTAAATCACTATTACAAGAGGAACGTCAAAATATATTATTTTACTAGGTAAACACTGGATATGAACCATGACCACAATTTCTTAGACTATAATAGTAATTAGACATAATACATATGCTGACCAGAAATATTACCAGTAGATTTAACGAATATTGACAACATACCATTTATATAAAGGGTTCCTAGACCTTAGAAAATCGAAGTGGTTTTGAGAAGAACTGTAGGTGAAATTTTCTTTAAGAAGAGAAAAAACATATTTTTTTCCACTCAACAAATCTGGTCCTAAGATTTCATGAGAAAGACATTTTCACCTCCAATAAAATTCTGTGTAGGTTTAAAATTCTAATTGGAAACTCAAATCTTTCCTACATCGGTCGTTTTTTCATACACAAGAGGATCGTACATGTAAATTATTTCAAAAGGTAGCAGCCAATGATAAAAAATCTCTCCCCCAAATTGAACATTTTTCTTTTAAGGTTACCATCTGTTCTGTTTTCCATGGCTACACAAATGATGAAGGAATAAAAAGGTTCATGTCAACAGCACAAAAGCATTTCTAGCTTCTACTGATAAAATAGAGAAGAAAAAATGGAGGAAGAAATTTTTAAGAAAATAAGCTGTTATATGGGTACTCTCATCTCCATGATTAGTTTCATAGCAATTTATAAAGGCAATGAAGAACCCATATTCCTAATCCCCACATGTGCTTGAATTTTTTGATAACAGCTTTGTTAAGATATAATTCACAGACCATAAAATTCACCATTTAAAAGTGAACAATTCACTGGCTTTCAGCATATTCAGAGTTGTGAAACCACCACCACTGTCTAATTTTAGAACATTCTGATCATTCCCAAAAGAAAACCTACACAAATTAGCAGTAACTTCTCACATTCCCTTCCCCCCAGGTCCTGACAACCACTAATCTATTTTCTGCCTCTATGGTTTTGCCTGTTCTGGAAAATACACATAAATGGAATCATACAAAATGTCGTCCTTTGAAACTGGCTTTTTTCACATAGTATGATGTTTTCAAGGTTAATCCACGTTGTAGTATATGTCAGTCCTTCATTCCCTTTTATTGCATAATGATATTCCATGGTACGAATATACTACTTTTTGTTTATCCATTCTTCAGTTGGTGGACATTTGGACTGATCCTATGTTTTGACTTTTGTTACGTAATGCTACTCTGAATATTTATGCACAAGGTTTTTTTTTTTTTTTTTTCTTTTGGTGTGTGCGTACATATGTTTTCAATTCTCTTAGGTATATACCTAGGAATAGAACCGCTGGGTCATATGGTAACTTTATGTTTAACAATTTGAGAAACTGTCAAACTGTTTTTTAAAAATATATGTCCCATTTTACATTCCCACCATTAAGGAATGACTGTTCCATTTGCTCCACTTCCTTGCTATACTTGTTATTGTTTTCTTTTTGATTCTTGTCATCCTAATGGGTGTGAAGTGTTATCTTATTGTGGTTTTGATTTGTACTTTCTTAATGACTAATGATGTGAACATCTTCTTATGTGCTTATTACATATCTTTGGAAAAAATGTCTATTCAAACCCTTAGTCCATTTTTAAAGTTACTTGCCTTTTATTGTCAGGTTGTAAGCATCACTTATACATTTTCTGGTTATAAGTACTTTATAAAATAAATGATTTGCAAAAGTTTTCTCCCATTCTGTGGGTTGTCCTCACTTTCTTAATGATGTCTATTTAAGCATAAAAGTTTTTGACTTCGATGAAGTCCAATTTATTTTTTTCTGTTGCTGCTTGTGCTTTGGTATCATATCTAAGGGACCCAATGTCATAAAGATTTACTCCTGCATTTTCATTTAAGAGTTTTATGGTTTTAACTCTTATAATTTGGTCTACGTTTTATTTTGAGTTAATTATAATATATGGCGTGAGGTAGGATTTCAAGTTCATTCTCATGTGGCTATCTAACTGTCCCAGTGGCATTTGTTAAAAAGTTTATTCTTTCTCCATGAATTGTCCTGGCATCCTTGCTGAAAATCAATTGATGATAAATGTGAAGGTTTTTTTTTCTGGACTCTCAATGCTATTCCACTGACCTATATATCTACCCTAATGCCAATACCACACTGTCTTGATTACTCAAGTTTTGTAGGAAGTTTTAAAATTGTGAAGTGTGAGTGTTCTTCTTCTAAAAAACTGTTTTGTTTCTTCTGAGTCCCTGGCAGCTGCATCATAAAATGTAAATTTTAGGATTAGCTTGACAATTTCTGAAAAAAAAAAAAAAATCCTGCTGGGATTGCACTGAAGCTGTATATCAATTTGGAGAATATTGCTACCTTAACAATATTAAGTCTTCCAATCCATGAACAAAGAATGTCTTTCCATTTGTTTCCATCTATTTTAATTTCTTTTAATGCTATTTTGTGGTCTTCTGGTACAAGTCTTGTACTTCTTTTGTTAAGTTTACTTCTAAGTATTTTATTCTTTTTGATGCCATTGTAAATGAAATTGTTTGCTTAATTTTGTTTTCAGATTATTACTATATAGAAACACAAATGGTATTTGTACATTGATTTTACATCGGTCTTAATGAACATGTTTATTAGTTCAAATTGTGTGTGTGTATGTGTGTGTGTGTATGTGTGTATTCCTTAGGATTTCTTATATATAAGATCATGTCATTGTGAATAGAGACAGTTTTCTTTCTTTCCAATATGATGCCTTTTGTATCTTTGTCTTGCCTTATTGCCCTGGCCGGGACCTCCAGTACAGTGGTGAATAGAAATGGCACGTGTGGACATCCTTGTCTGGTTCCTGATCTTATTAAGGGAAAACATCCAATCTTTCACAATCAAGTATGATTTACCTGAGGCTTTTTGGAGATGCCCTTTTTCAAACTGAAAAAGTTTTCTTCTATTCTAGTTTGTTGAGTGTTTTTATAATAAAACGGTGTTGGATTTTGTCAAATGCTTTCTTTTCCAACTATTGAGATGATCGGTTAGTTTTTGTCCTTATTCTATTAATGTCTTATGCTTGAATTTTGACACCAAAATGTACTGAAGAAACAAAATCAGTTTAGTCCAGCCAAGTTAGGCTTGTCAGATTCTCCTACTTCCTGCTTTTTATCAGACTGAAAAATACACACAGAATATATACTTGGATCTGGTTTGCATCTCCAAATTCAAAGACAGTTCATCCAAACCCTGGCTGGTCTTTTTAAAAATAGTCAAAGCTCATTTTAAGAGTAACTAATTAATCAGCTACTGTAAAGAAGTCGGGGGTACTGGGAAGTGGTCAGGGTTTTTCCCCTCTGGAATTTTTTATACCAATTTAAGACTTAAGGGAAAAAAATTACTGTGTTTAAAAAAATTTAGTGATTAATGGTTTTTACTTGAAAGTCATATATTTAAAACAAAAGGTACAGGAATATTTACCAAAATTAGTCTCCAGAATATTCATCAGCAATTAGGGGAAGATGAAACCTACATTAGTGGAGGGGGAGAAACATACAGTAAACATTAAACAGAACAAATCATTCAATCATATAGAATATTAAAAGTGCTAAGTGCTACACAAAAAAACAAGAAAGGTGAAGCAGGAGAAGGCTGATCAGGACTAAGGTGGAGGCACACGCAAACAGAATGTACAGCACTGGACTTCTTTAAACGTTATATACAGGAGTCCAGATTCACATACCAGTCTTCCAAGAAAGGAAATATCACCCCCACTTTCCAGAGAAGAAAATGAAGGCTCAGAGAGATTAAGCAATATGTTCAAAGTAAACCCTAAACAGCAAGCAGAACAGAGATTCCAAGTAAGCTCTATCTAACCCCTGAACAAAAACAATGACCTATAGGCAGCATACCCGATTCCAGCCACAATACCCTTACTCCTGAAACAATAAACACATTCGGAAAAATGAAAACTAAAAGAGGAAAAAAGAAGGAAAGAAAATAAAAACAGTAAATCAAAACCATGAAGACCTTATGTATTTCCCTGCTAGTTTCTTGTCTTCAGCTTCTCATTTATAATTAACAGGCACTCCTGTGGCAAGGCATTTTTATTTGCAAAGAATTTTCGACCTTTCAGTGATTCCATGACAGCCTTTGGAAGGACTAATTTAATAACTTCTGTTTATAAATAGCAAACCCAGGGCCCAGATGCTAAGAAAGGAGCAGAGGGTCAGAGGTAAAGCCAAGAGGATTTCTCTTGATCCGCATGTCTTTCTCCTCCTCTCGGCAAAATGCACACGACAACACCCAATAGCTCTCTCTTTCGACACACTGATTAAAGCTTTTCAGCAGTGCGTGGGGGAAATATATGATTTGGTTTTTCCCCCCGCAAATAGACATTTATGAAAATAGAACCTCCTAGTAAAGCAGGATTTCATTAAAAAAAAAAAAAAATCCAACCATATAAAGCATACATTGGTTTCATTCTGTCAGAGTTGACATTCTACCTGTACATAATTGGGTTTGTGAATGACAAGTTTCCAAGGAATAAGGCATGATTCAGAGAGCAGAGATCTTGCATTCCCCTTCCTTCCCTCCCTCTACCTGGCAACGACCCATGCAAACCCCCACCCCAAATTTGCAGCTATTAATTCATTCATTTCCACATCCAGAAGTCATAATCTGCTCTTCCATGGAACACACAATACCCGTAGGTGAAGGCTCTCTTTTTAACCGTCTCAAAGTACTCTGGTCATCTGCACCAGTGACCACACCGTTTGGAAAATGACTAACAATTTATACCAATTAACTTATCTATC